AGGGTATGGGATGCATGTCTTGCCTGGGTTCAAGCAAAATCTTTGGATATTCTCAACCCTTGTACTAAGACATTCTGGACTTCCTACAAGCGGGCTTGAAAAAAGGTTTATGCTACAATACCTTGAAAGTATATATCTCAGCTCTGTCCAATGTTAAAATTGGCATTTGATTCAGATTGCTAGATTCCTTTCTGCAGTTCTGAAAATACATCCTCCAATAAAACGTACATATCCTCCGTTAGACTTATCTTTTGTTCTAAAAGCACTTTAATCAAACTCTTTTGAACCCATGGAATCTGTTTTTCCTCACTTATTGATTATAAAAACAGTTCTCTTGGTAGAAAAATACAATACACGTGGGAATCAGCTGATATACCTAAAAAAATAATAAATAAAAAGAAAATAGCATAATATAGTTAGTGCAAACATAATATTCCCTGCTAGAGATTGCACTCACAAGAATTTGAAGTTATATGCGTTCTATAATGGTGCCTCCCCCGATAGTCATAATGCTTTATCAGTGGGTAAGTGTGTTTTATTTTCAATTGCTTCCAGTGCTGACTTTGTTAATTCACAGCACTAACTATGGTTCAGTCCACAATCTGGATTTATTTTATTTAATCCAGATTGTGGACTGAACCATTATTACTGCTGTGAATATACAAACTATATTATGCTATGTTCTTTTTATTTATTATTTTTTAGGTATATCAGCTGAATCCCACGTGTATTGTATGTTTTGGCGTGTTTAGACAAAACACTATTTGGAAGGTGTTCGGTGGGAAGCTGCTTCTGTTAATTGATAATTATATGTTTTTATATCTTTCGTTTTTTTGTTGTATTATTTCTCTTGGTAGCCCTGGCCTAAGGCAAGCAAGTATCAGAACTGCAAGTGCTATCCAGAACAGAACCCCTTGCAGCCTTCCACCATAACAGGGTCACCCTAAGAACTGTTCCAGAATTCAGGACTAAAGTCACATCATCTTTTCATGTCAATGAAGAACATATTTTTCCAGCTTTAAATCCATAGGATTCAGACGACTTATCAGCATTAGACCAGTTTAGATGCCTTACGATGTATGTGGACAGATCATCTAAATGGAATTCATCCAAAAGACTGTTTGTAAATCCTAATGAGGTAAGAAAGGCACTGCATGCTTCTAGAGAAGCCCTAAGTGGATTGATAGTGTCAGCTATAATTTAAGCCTACAAGGCTGCTCAGGTTTCAGTTCCTTATGAACTTAAAGCCCACTCTTTCAGATCCGTTTCCTCCTCCCGGGTCTCTCCGAACATTATTTGCAGGGTCCTCTATTAATACTTTTATCAGGCATTATTAACTAGGTGTTAGATCCGCTTAGCTTGATGAGTTTGGAGAAAGTGTTCTTTCCATTTCTAATATTTAAGTTATTACTGGTTTGATGTGTTCACGTATGGTTTTCAATGCACTATTTAAGCATTAATTTTGCCATTATGTTTTTCTTTCCCTCCCTTAGTATTAGCTTGAGTATTCCCATGTTGTGCTGCCATGGATATGGTCAGGAAAAGAGAAAATGTATTCATATTTACAGTAATTTTCTTTATAAAACAATAAATAAGGTGTGCTGTGTCTTAAAGACTTAACAAATTTTATAAAACAGTGCAAAACCGTATAATGATTAAAGTGCATACAAATATAACAAAAGTGTCACTGTGCAAAATTTAGTGATGAGCACTCCTTTGCCAAAGTGCTTTAAGTGAAAAGATATGTAGAAAACACTTACAACAGTGTCTTGTTAGAATTGCAGGCAACATTGTACCATCCAAACTAATACTCAAAGATAAAAACACAGAATAAAAACATAGTGCGACCTTTTATAAAATATATTAAGTGTAAAAACTAAGGAAACACTCACAAATAGAGAGCAGATGAGTCTGCTCTAACTTTCAGCGTGTGTAGACCTCAAATAGGGTCAGTGATGCAGGAGAGGACGCCAACCAGGGGTAAAATGGAAATTCTTTACTCTTTTTCACATAACATATAAAAGAACGTCCCCACTCCACCTCCTTCCTTCGAGTGTGTCCTGTGTAGGGTCTGTGACCATTAAGTTCACTGCCGGCTGCAGAATAATTTTCTTTAACTGGTCAAAGGCCATGGCAGCACAGGGATCCCTCCCTAAAAGCATTAGCTTGGAAGTAGGACTGAGGGTTGGGAGGTAGGAGGGGGCATTTATGCCCTTTGTTTTAATTGGTTCCTGTCTATTGGGGAATAGGGGCAGCTCACCTGTTGTTGTTTTTGTGCTGCAATGGCCTGAAAAGAAAATTACAGTAAGTATGAATAAATTAGTATATACAATATATATATATATATATAACGCTCAAAAGTTTGCATACCCTGGCAGAAATTGTGAAATTTTGGCATTGATTTTGAAAATATGACTGATCATGCAAAAAAAAAAATATATTTTATTGAAGGATAGTGAGCATATGAATGTTTAAATCATGATAACAGAAATCACCTCAATGGCCCTGATCAAAGGTTCACACACCCTTGAATGTTTGGACTTCTTACAGACACACAGGGTGACACACACAGGTTACAATGGTTACAATGGCAATTAAAGGTTAATTCCCAACACCTGTGGCTTTTTAAATTGCAATTAGTGTATGTGTATAAATAGTCAATTGAGTTTGTAAGTGCTCATGAGGATGCACTGAGCAGGCTAGATACTGAGCCATGGGGAGCAGAAAAGAACTGTCAAAAGACCTGCGTCACAAGGTAATGGAACTTTATAAAGATGGAAAAGATATCCAAATCTTGAAAATGACCGTCAGTACTGTTCAATCACTTATTAAGAAGTGGAAAATTGAGGGATCTCTTGATACCAAGCCAAGGTCAAGTAGACCAAGAAAGATTTCAGCCACAATTGCCAGAAGAATTGTTCAGGATACAAAGAAAAACCCACAGATAACCGCAGGAGAAATACAGGTTGCTCTGGAAAAAGACGGTGTAGTTGTTTCTTGGAGCACAATATGACGATACTTGAACAAAAATGAGCTGCATAGTCAAGTTACCAGAAAGATGCATTTACTGCGCCAATGCCACAAAAAAGCCCAGTCACAATATGCCCGACAACACCTTGACACACCTCACAGCTTCTGGCACACTGTAATTTGGAGTGACGAGACCAAAATAAAGCTTTATGGCCACAACCATAAGTGCTATGTTTGGAGAGGGGTCAACAAGGCCTACAGTGAAAAGAATACCATTCCCACTGGGAAGCATGGTGGTGGCTGACCTATGTTTTGGGGGGTGTGAGCTCTGAAGGCACAGGGAATATTGTGAAAATTGATGACAAGATGAATGCAGCATGTTATCAGAAAATACCGGCAGACAATTTGCATTCGTCTGCAAAAAAGGCTGCACATGGGATGCTCTTGTACTTTCCAGCATTACAATGACCCTAAAAACAAGTTGACCCTCCAATGGTTACAGCAGAAAAAAGTGAAGGTTTAGGAGTGGCCATCACAGTCTCCTGACCTTACAGGGATTCTCCAGTGCTAGGAAAACATACTAGTTTTCTTGGCACTGCAGTGCCCCTCTCCCTCTGTCTGACAGCCACTAGAGGAAGACTTAGCCCTGCAAGGTAATTAATGCAGTTTATAAAAACTGCAATAATTACACTTGCAGGGTTAAGGGTAGTGGGAGTTGGCACCCAGACCACTCCAATGGGCAGAAGTGGTCTGGGTGCCTGGAGTGTGCCTTTGATATCATCGAGCCACTCTGGGGAGATCTCAAATGTGCGGTTCATGCAAGACTACCAAAGACTTTGCATGACCTGGAGGCATTTTGCCAAGAAGAATGGGCAGCTATACCACCTGCATGAATTAGAGGCCTCATAGACAACTATTACAAAAAACTGCACACGGTCATTGATGCTAAAGGGGGTAATACACAGTATTAAAACTAAGTGTATGCAGATTTTTGAACAGCTGCCATTTTATTTTTTTCTTTGTTGCCATGTTCTGTTTTAGGATTGTGCCATTCTGTTATGTGGTTCAAATAGCATTATGAAAAGTTTTCAATGTACAGTATATTTGGAAATATAGAAGTTTTCAATTTGAGAAATAAAGGAGTTGATTGCGTTTTTAGGGGTTGATTTCTTAAAGGACTACTATAGTGCCAGTAAAACAAACTCGTTTCCTGGCACTATAGGGTCATTAGGTCCCCCCAACCCTCAGGGCCCCCAACCGCTGGGCTGAAGGGGTTAAAACACCTTAAGCCACGTATCTTCGTTGGTGACCTCTCTCCCCCCTGCCGACATCAGCTCCAAATGCACGGCAGGAGCCGCGCTTGAATTCAAACTGCCCATAGGAAAGCATTACTCAATGCTTCCTATGGACATCCAGCGTCTTCTCAGTGAGAATCGTGGAAGAGCCTCTAGCGGCTGTCGGTGAAACTGCTATGTTTTCAGCTGCAGGGTTAACACTAGAGGGACCTGGCACCCAGACCACTTCATTGAGCGGTCTGGGTGCCTATAGGGGTCCTTTAAGGGGACTGTTCAAACCCAAATTCTGAAACCCAATCTGTTTTTCATGTTCATTTAAAGTTATATTATTTAAAAAAAAAAAAAAATGTTTTAAGATAGAGTGAAGGGTGTAGATCTGTGCTACACTATTGAAGAAAATATTTATTTAAAAAAAAATATATATATATATATGAATATATATATAAAGCACATAATAAAATCCTGTTGGGAGAGAGATGTCACCCAAGGTAATTGAATGAAAAGTAATCCTGTATTTGATAAATTAAAATTTGAACAAACAGAAAATACAATAGAAGGGGTAATGGAAGTCCACACTAGTAGCCCAATAATTCAAGACACGTTTTGCCCGGTTGCTTCCTCAGTTGGAATCTTGGTGGGTTTCCCCATGTGCGGTGGAACGCACTTCCTTCTTCCTGTTTCTGTCGTCCGCGTGGATGCTACGTTGGGAACAGCTGTTGGTCTGGGCGCGTGCGCACTACGTTAGCCAGCCGTGCGTGACCTCTTGAGATATGTGTGTGAACCTTACGTCGCTCCGCCTTCCCCTTGCCGTCCTCGCGCTGCTCGCTAGCTGGGGATTTTGAAAGTGTCAGCGCGGCGGCCTTACACTGCCTGTCATGGCCTTCAGCTTCGGCTCCACCGCGGGGACCGCGGCCAACCAAGGTGAGACCCCATCACACCCGCCTGGGCCCCGAGCTGGCCAGGAGCGTGACTGCCGTGTGTGAGCAAATAGGGGCCGGCCTGCGGGGGGGGGGGGGCACTGGGAGAGTCCTGGCTGGCTGAGGGGGGGGCACTGGGAGAGTCCTGGCTGGGCTGGGGGGGCACTGGGAGAGTCCCTTGGCAGGGTCCTGGGAGAGTCCTGGCTGGCTGAGAGGGGGGTCCTGGGAGAGTCCTGGCTGGCTGAGGGGGGGCACTGGGAGTCCTGGCTGGCTGAGGGGCACTGGGAGAGTCCTGGCTGGCTGAGGAGGGGGTCCGGGGAGAGTCCTGGCTGGCTGAGAGGGGGTCATGGGAGAGTCCTGGCTGGCTGGGGGCCCTGGGAGAGTGCTGGCTGGCTGAGAGGGGTCCTGGGAGGGCTGGCCCCTGGGAGAGAGTCCTGGCTGGCTGAGGGGAGGGGGGCCCTGGGAGAGTCCTGGCTGGCTGAGGGGGCGGGAGAGCTGGCCCCTGGGGAGGTGTGAGATTCCCTGGCTGGGGGGCCCTGGGAGAGTCCCGGCTGGCTGAGGGAGGGGGCCCTGGGAGAGTCCCTGGCTGGCTGAGGGGTGGGAGGTCCTGGCTGGCTGTGTGAGAGCTCCTGGCTGGCTGAGGGGTGGCCCCTGGGAGAGTCCTGGTTGGGAGGGGGGGGCCCTGGGAGAGTCCTGGCTGGCTGGGGTGGCCCTGGGAGAGTCCTGGCTGGCTGAGGGGGTGGCCCTGGGAGAGTCCTGGCTGGCTGAGGGGTGGCCCTGGGAGAGTCCTGGCTGGCTGAGGGGGGTGGCCCTGGGAGAGTCCTGGCTGGCTGAGGGGTGGCCCTGGGAGAGTCCTCCTGGCCCTGAGATGGCTGGGGGGGCCCTGGGAGAGTCCTGGCTGGCTGAGGGGGGGCCCTGGGAGAGTCCCGGCTGGCTGAGGGGGCCTGGGAGAGTCTGGCTGGCTGGCTGAGCTGGCTGGGGGGCCCTGGGAGAGTCCTGGCTGGCTGGGGGCCCTGGGAGAGTCCTGGCTGGCTGAGGGGGGCCCTGGGAGAGTCCTGGCTGGCTGAGGGGGCCCTGGGAGAGTCCTGGCTGGCTGAGGGGGGCCCCGGGAGAGTCCTGGCTGACTGAGGGGGGGCCCTGGGAGAGTCCTGGCTGGCTGAGGGGGAGGGCCCTGGGAGAGTCCTGGCTGGCTGAGGGGGTGGGGGGCGGGGCCCTGGGAGAGTCCTGCATGTTTGGGAGGGGACCTGGGAGGGTCTGACTGGGAAAGACCTTCACTGATCTCTCCTGATCCGAGTCCCTGTTGTGTGAATGGCTTTTTTTTTTCTTTTGCACAGTATCGAATTTAGTAAGTCCAGGACTCTTTGTTCTGGTTAACGATGCCCCAGTGATGCTATTTAGTGACACTGTCTGTGTTGGAGTTACACCTCCATCAGCAAAGTGGTTAAAATCTAAAATGTGCAGCATTTCACAATGCTGCAAACACAGACTCCAAGCAGACCACTTCAAATCACTGAAGTGGTCATGGTGCTTGGAGTAACCCTTTAAAAGGGAGGAGGAATTAGGCAGAGGAGGATTAGAGTGGAGACTGACAAGTAAGTGCATTACTTTAAATTGTCAATATAACTTGTTAAAATATACATCAAGACTTCATATACACTAAAAAACATTTTTGGTGTAAGTTGGCCCTGAGCAGAAGATCCACTCATCACAAAGAATGAATGGATCTTCCTTATAAATTGATTGCAGCATTTGCCTGTTTAGAAACTATAGCTTCCATGATACTTTTTCATTCTACAGACATTCTAAATGCATGCAAAGCATCATGGGCGTTTTAGTTCTACAACATCTTGGGAACTACCTTTTGGGCACCCCTGCTCTAATGCTTATTTACAAGTCACTGCAGTTCCAAGCCACTCAGAGCTGAGCATTAGTTCAGGGTACTCATTGAACCACCAATTTTACAGTGAAGCTAATATGGTACAGGGAGTAACCTTTTAACTAGCGAACTCACATTACATGTTTTGATGTTTGACAAACTTTCTTACATATTCTGTCTCTATTTCTTTAGGTACAGGATTCTCTTTGGGCACTTTTACTCCCAAAACAACCGCATCAGGTTTTGGTTTTGGCGCAGCCACCACTACTGCATCAACTGGCTTTGGAGGTAAGAATTGGAAATTATGTATGCAGATAGATTTTTGTGATAGTTTTACCCTCTAGAATGATTGCTGTTATAGTTTTTGGGTACGTCATTAGAAATACTCCATGCAAGTTTGTCATGTCTTACACAATTAGGTGATTTTCAATTACAAATAACACATAGCTTTTAGCATGCTATGCCCTTCCTCCACTTAGAAACTTCATGTTTATATGAAAGCATGGCTTGTGAATTACCTTGTGTATAGTTTTAGAAATCCTAAACTCCTAACCCAAGCCCTTTATTGTAAAAAGGAGGAGAGAGAAAGGTAGCGCCAGGAGTACTTTGTGTATTATTATATGTATATAATCTAAATTTTTTAAAAATATAAAGGTATTGTAAAATAGAATATAAAATACAATACAGAGTGCAAATATAAATGTCCACAATGGGAAAAATTCAACTTGCAAGGGAACAGTTACCTCTTAACAAAGGTAGTTTTCTTATTAGTAATTACGGGTAAGAAGAGACTTGGAATCCGTTTGTGCATATAAGACAATAGAAGAAAAATCCCAATGGTACAGTATGTATATATAAAACTAGCGGAGTAAACGGCAATATAGATTCTACTCACATTTACCAGAACTATGATCAGCTCTAGTTATGACAGCGTATTATACCCACTTCTAGGATATATGGGTAGGTGTGGTTCTCAGATATCCCAACAGAATAACATCAAAGGGAACCAGACCAATGAAAAACAAAAATAGAACGGAATATAGTGATCTCTGTATATGTAAAGCCAGGAGTACTAAAAAAAAAAAAAAATATATATATATATATATATATTGTACTCAAATTTGGTTGAGCAGACTTACTGCTCGATGGATAGGGTGCAGGTGGCTTGATTCTTTGGTGAGGTCCTCACTGGAGTAGATAAGCAGGATGCCAGGCAAGTTAAAATTAAATTAAAATTATTAAAGGAAAGGTAATATGACACATAGTGTAAAAATAGCCAATATTTTTTGATTAACATAAATCAAATTAAAAAGATTCTGCAATGCATTTCGCCATACAGGGCTTTATCAAATATAGATAGTAAGCTTGGCAGACAGAGGTTTATATAGGAAGTGACAGTCAAAACAATTTTAAAATTTTGGCACCAAAATGACAGTACAAACAAATTTTCAATTGTGTTAAAAAGTCTTTCATTTATATGTATTATAAGGGCATAGTCCAACTTAAATGTAAAAACAGAGCTTTAAACTAAAAGGCTAGGTTGCAGTTGATCATGTGACTTGCGACTCCAGTTCCGGGTCACGTGACTTGCCTTATGGTTTATGGAAATATAGGCTGGCACACACACATACAAAAAAAACACTAACACATGCGGCTTGTCTTTGTGCATTGCACATGCACCACGGAGGGAGGTGCATGCGGGGTTGTCCTCGGATCATGTGTTGTAGTGCACTGTGTGTGCCTGCAATATCTACACACTGAAACGCCCAAATAAATGGAAGGTCCAGAGGCTGAGACGCTACGTGTTTAGGCAGTGTTAGATTCAGGGAAATATTAACGGCCATGTTGGTGTAATGAAAAATAACAGAAATAAAAGATAAGTAAAGAAAAATAAAAGTATATAAATATATATAAATTTATTTTATTGCTATGGAATGATAAATGCTGCTTTAGTGCACATTTGCAATGCTTTTACATTTACAGACAAATCTAAGCAGTGGGAGAATGCTTCAGCGTTCCACCATTTAGTTAATGCATCCCCTAAATCCTGACATTAGCGTATCACCAACTCTGTCACTTTGCTTGCTGCCTGTCTCCCTACTTTATCATATCTACTTTTTGGCTGTTTCCTGTTAGCTGTTGCTGGCCATTTCAGATATACAGATATATATTCTCTATATCCGGTTGGAGAGTCTTATTTGATTTATTTCTCCAGCTAGTGTGACAGTATTTAAATGTTTTGAGAGAACACATTTGAAAATTATTTTCCTTGTTATTTTGTTTTTATATTTGTGTATTGCACACTTCAAAAAAACACACTTGTTTACGGTAGGGTGACATTGCAGCATATATGCATTATCATTTTGTGCTAATTATATACCACAAACATACACTAAATAAACACTATGATTTGTGTAATTTAGGAATCTGTGCTTCTTTTCCTTCTTCTAAGCTTGTTTCTAACTCTTACCAACTTTTCTTCATGCTTCCCATGCTTCAGGATTTGGAGGGCTTGACTCTGCGACCTCCAGCAACAGTGGGTTTAACTTTGGGGGGTTCGGGCTAGCTGCCAATCCCACATTAAACTTTAATGTTGGAAATTTCAGTGTTTCAACTGCTCCAGCACCACCCTTCAATTTTGGTAACAGCCTGGCAAATGCAGGTAGAGAGAAATTAATATATGTGATGTTTGTCATCAAATATTCAGTGCAGTGGTCCACGAATATCCTGTAAATAGTTCATAAAGTGTTAGAAGCTGTAGCAGTTTCTAGGTTTTCTTTATGGCAGTACAATTTTAATGTTTTGTCCTTTCACTATATACATGTTATACTATATGATTTTCTGTATTGTAAACAATAAAAGCTAAGTTTTTTTTTTTTGACAAAATAAGTTCAGGGACTAAAGCGTTTGCCAAATCTACTTGTTCTGATAGGTGGGTAATGAACTTTCCAAAAATTTCCAAAGGAGAATTGTAGCTTGCTTTATCAAAAAATCTAACTATAATTAACTGAGACAACCTCATAAGGCCATTTATATCCATTGACATGCTTCGTTACAGAAAAGGCAGTGCTTAAACTGCTGAGCCTACAAGGTCAACCTCTTTGTTCCAGAACCACTACATTAAACTGTCGTGCCTAAAGGGCCACTTTAAAAACTTGTCTTTGGGAATATAGTGTGGAGTGGGATAAGTAATGTAGTGTGTGGGATAAGGCGGAAGTGTGTATGTAGATGATGTAGTGTGTGTTTGTATAGGGTGCGTGGTGCAGGATAGAGAGTTTGCGTATGAAACATGTTGTGTGGGATATGGATGTAGGGAACACATTATAGTGTGGTATAGGGATGTAGTTTGTAAGGCACCTAGTATGGCTGATTGTAAGACCTTTTTAAAGTGGCCAATTATATAGAAATATTATATAATTTGAGGATATGTTTTATTTATACTTCGTATTTTCTATGATTACACTGGGCATTTCATTTTTATAGCCATTTCAGCACAACTTTTTGGATATTGTAAATCACATTAAATCAAGCAGATTTTAATGGAACATTCTGTGACATTGTAACTAAGAACTTTATTCTTGGATCACTGGTGATGCCCCCGCATCTCTATAGACCAGGGGTGGTGAACCTTCTGCTTTGCTAGCATTATTGCTGTAAGAGCATTATGGGAGTTGTAGTCCAAAACATCTGGAGGGCAGAAGGTTCCCCATCCCTGCTAAAGACAGTGACATGTTTCCTTAGAAAACATGTCCTTTGGATTGGATGTTGTGTGCATTACAGTCTTCTTACACACGTCTATTGGACTAGCGTGAGCACAGTTTATGAAATGATGAAAATTTTTGATACTATGTTATCAGGCATATAATTTTGTAAATCGCTTTAATTGGAAATATGCATAGATTTTGCTGGTCAATTAAATGCTTCACTCATCACACATACGTGACGAGTAATTCAAATCTGTTTTATCAGTACCAGTTATTCTTGGACCACTGTACTTTTTATCACAAACATTCCACCAATCTGTTACCATCCTGAATTTAAGTCACTTAAAGGGAGTGTTCACCTTTTTCATTTGTTTGTACAATACGGGTTGATTTATGTTTCATTTGTTAATGTATTGTTTAAATTGTTTTTCCTATGTTGAAAACTCCTCTGCATGTGCTATTGCTAACAATATTCATTCTTCCATCTTGCTGCATGTTGTCAGCCAAGCTAATAACCATAAAATACGTTTGTGGTTATTTGTATAATTTGTTCAAATTTTGGGCTGGTTTATTTCATTAACCCACCCTAAACAAGTGAATATAGTGTTTGCATGTCTGTCTGCCCATTCCAATATCTTGGATTTTAATGAATTAATTTATTTTTAGATAATTTAAACAGGGTTTCTACTAACCCGCCTACAACATGCTCATCCCGTCACGGTTGTCTAGGTTGGATGAAATTAACTTTGATAATGCGGGATTATTCATTTTATTTTCTCATGGGGGGGGGGCTGTGTGTGTCTAAATAGTGCCTTGAGAAGCCAGTCTGTACTGGTGCTTCATGCACTTAATATTGAATCTTGCTCATTAGCATTAGGCATTAACACTTCATTTTTGTGCTTGTGCGAATAGCAAATAATATACAAAAATCTGCTGTCAATTGGTGATGGCAACAGGTGGCTGGAGTGTGCTTCAGTAAGTGTCACTGACTTGTAAGAGAGGGATGTATATACATGGCGATCATGCACCAAACTCTTCTGTGATTTAAAAGCAACTTTGTAAAGGAACACTATGGCACTAGGTACAAAAAAAAACCTATACAGATACCCCCAACATGTGCCTTAAAAATCTATGAAATTAAAGTTTTACTCACTATTTTTCAACACTAAGACTCCCTCTGCGCTGCTCACTTACTCGCCTCCTGCAATGTCGTGGAAGAGGCAATCAAATACTCCTCGTAGAAGAGCATTGGAGACCTGATCGTGCGCACATCTAACATTTTCCCATAGGAATGCATTGTATTTAATGCTACAAGTTTCGGAGTCACAAAGCACCTCTAGTTGCTGTCAGTTCGACAGCGACTATAGGTGGATATTACATTGCAAAGTAAACAAGGCAGTTTGCAAAAACACTTTATTTTTAACTCCTTAAGGACACAACTTCTGGAATAAAAGGGAATCATGACGGAATATTTCCGTCATGTGTCCTTAAAGGACCACTATAGTGCCAGGAAAACATACTCGTTTTCCTGACACTATAGTGCCCTGAGGGTGCCCCCACCCTCAGGGACCCCCTCCCGCCCGGCTCTGGAAGGGGGAAAGGGGTAAAAACTTACCTTTTTCCAGCGCTGGGCGGGGAGCTCTCCTCCTCCTGGGCTGAATGCTTTCCTATGGACGCTTGCGTGCCCTCACTGTGAAAATCACAGTGAGAAGCACGCAAGCGCCTCTAGTGGCTGTCAATGAGACAGCCACTAGAGGCTTTGGGGGAAGGCTTAACCCATTAATAAACATAGCAGTTTCTCTGAAAATGCTATGTTTATAAAAAAAAAAATGGGTTAACCCTAGCTGGACCTGGCACCCAGACCACTTCATTAAGCTGAAGTGGTCTGGGTGCCTAGAGTGGTCCTTTAAGGTGTTAAAAAAAAAAATGTTGTTGTTTTTTATTACAGGGTTAAAAGGATAGGACCAATTCATTGAGATTAAGTGGTCTGGCTGACTTTCATATCTCTCTAACCTTTTTACTACTATTAGAGAGCAATACATAGTTTTTAAGCTTTGTGCAGGTAAGTTTGAGGTTATTCAGTGGAAAGTTTATGGAATCGTCGGTTTAGACTAATATATAAAAGGTGAGATAGTGATTGTAATAGCTAGTTAGATTGTAAATTTAGTTGGTTGTTGGGTATTTGACTGTTGATAAGCTTATGTGTGGTGGTCAGGATACATAAACTTGTTGGTACAGTGATTGAATATTTGTGATTTTCTCCTAATGGGTGTTTAGTTTCCCCGATAATAAGTACTTGTATATCCTTTTTGGAGTAGTTTCATTTGGTATGCTAATAAACTTCCAAACTAGACATGGACAGTTGGGAAACTGTGATGGACATGTCATATTTGCACTTTAATTTCCCCAAAAGAGACTGGGGCTACATGTCTAGTGGAAAAGTGGTGAAAAGATAAACACAAAAATAATCCTCTGGATTGTTTACATGTGATAAATGTATGCTTATGTCCATATTTATTTAGAATAGGTTGTTTTGGAGTGTCCGTTTAATGGAGAGTATGTATGGCAACATCTTATGGTTGGTTTTTTTTTTGGCCACCAACTGTTCTCTTATCTCCTTCTCTTGCTATCTCTCTGTACTGGGATAATTGATGATGTCTTCAAACTTCACACCTGCAGTTTACTGGAGGACTGACTAAAAGAGCAGCTAATTTAACTATTTATATAGATTATCCTTTTCACGCAAATTCTATTTTTGGCTCTCCTGCAATATATATCCGTTTTTACCTTCAACGTGCTCATGGAAATAGGCAAAAACCATGCCCATTTTATTTCCAGTTTTGCTACATATTTTCATTGTTCTCTTTTCTTGAGGTGGTTTTGGAGGTTTTGGTAGCACGACAACTACAGCTTCAGCACCTGCATTTAGCTTTTCTGCTCCTACTAATTCAGGCACTACAGGTAAGTCAGAACTAAGGGGAAAGTGTCACTTCCAATTGTAATTATATTAAAATTAAGGTTTTTCTTTTCTTTGCTTGTTTTACATTTGGATATATTCCTGTTTTTCCTGATGTAAATAAATATTGCTGTGTTCACCTGGTTTTTCTATAAGTTTGCTTTGAGGGTTTGGTGACATGACTGCATTAGTGTGGCCAATATAAATTCTCCAGTCCCTATTGTCGTAGAAAACAGCCAGAAAAGTACAGGAATGGAATTTTTTGTATTTTTTTTTTTAAAGGGACATAGTCACCTGAACAACTTCAGCTTAATGAGGTTGTTTAGGTGAGAACAATGGCTTCCTGCAGCCCTTTTCATGTAAACACTGTATTTTCTGAAAAAATACAGTGTTTAGCTTGGAAGCTAGGAACACCTCCAGTGGCAGTCACTCAGACGGCCACCGAAAGGAACTTCCGAGTTAAATGCTGCCTAATTCGCATTCATCACATTTGATTTCTTCATGTTTGACTGACGACATCAAACGTGCTACCAGGACAAAGAAGGCACTGTGAACGCGCTTCCTGTGTCCTGTAGTAACCCGGAGCCTGTCAGCAATCAGAGCCGACCGTGTGAGAGATAAGGATCTCCTGCACACAGCATTGGCTCGGGCTGACAGGCAGGAGGATCTACTGACTTCAAATAGTAAGTAAACTTGTTTTAAAAATTGTGTGTGTTTAACAACATTTAATTACAAAGTGTGTGTGTGTGTGTAGAGGTATCTCTATATAATGTTTGCATATAAACTTTTGGCTTAGGAGGGGGGTGGGCATAGACGTGAACGCGCACGTGCGCGGCAGAGCGCTCAGTTCATTTATAGAGCCAGCATTCAATGATGTTCTATGAAGAACACATTGATGCAGCGCGAAGCCGCACATGCGCACCACAGAGCGATGACTCTTCTCAAAGAGAAGTGTCTGAGCCCTGCTATTTTGTCGTTTTGATGGAAAAGGGGGCATGGCCTGCCGAGGAGCTTGGCACTAGAATGGAGGTAAGTTTATATGAGAAAAAGCACTTGGATTTGGCAAAATTAATACAAAAGCAAGAAAGAAGGCATTGGGACCTGTCTTTCTTGCTTTTATATGCTCCTTTAATATCTAAAATAAAACCCTCTCATTCTCTTTAATCTCACTGAGTGGGCAACTTACCACGTTACCCAAGTAACATCCATTAACGTATCGATGAACCCAGAACAACCAGTGGGGTGCCTGACATGTCATGGTGTTAAACTCCCTCTAGAATTCCATGAGAGCAGGGATCTCCTGTAAGTGCTGTTGCTGGTTGTATCTTTATAGAGATGTTCAGCAACCTGACAGTCTGAAGCCTGCTGGGGCAATAGCTATGAAAGCTGACCACCATTGTTTTGCTTTTTTCTCCACTGTGCTTACATGATCAAGATGAAGTCTGCCTATTCATTATACGTGAATGAAAACCTTCTAGACAAACCTTCATTTACTGTACTACATCATATATGGTGCTCACAAAATTTCCCAGATGTTTCTCATAAGATACATTTGTGTGTCTCTCTTTTCTTTTTCCCATCAAAATATACTTGTTTGGTGTTTATTCTGTCATTAAATACCAATTTTCATGAACCTGCCATTTCCAACAGGGTTGTTCGGCGCTGCCCAGAACAAAGGTTTTGGTTTTAATACTGGTTTTGGCGCAACTGCAACAAATACAGGACTGGGTGCAGGTCTAGGAACCGGTTTAGGATTTGGATTCAACACTCAACAGCAGCAACAACAGAGTGGTTAGTATGAAAATGGTGTTTTGGCTTGTAATTTTCTGATAGTTCCGGTCTCCTTGTAGATGTCAAGTTTGTCGTTGGAATTAAAAGCAGTACTAACTTGTTTATGTTCATTATATCAACATTTCCACTCAACTTGATCAATATGGGAAGTTAGTTATATCAGTATTTTATTTTATTATTTGTACCAAATTAAAACCTACTTCAGACACTAGCACCTTTATAGTGATTGTAAGGCTCTACCTTGTCTAATGTTTGTATTACATTCAAGGCAATTCATTTGCAATATAGTGCACTAATCATGCATGGAAAAAGAAAATTCAATCTTTATTCTGTATTTACAGTGAAAGATAAGACTGAATCGTTGATCTTTCAGGAAGCCAGTCGCTCTAAACACATATATATATATATATATAATTTTTTTTTTTTTTCTTAATGCAGTCTTAAAGTTAAGTTCTTCAAGCTTTTTAATAGTTAATAGAATAACGCTCAGAGCTTTTTAAAATAAAGTTTACTTACCTTAATCCAGCACGGGGCAACTCACTGATGTTCCGTGCACCCCCTTCTGACATCACATGAGCCATATAAAGGTCCAGTCAAAAGCTTTTCATACAGAATCATTTGATTGGACCATTTTACTAGCTCTAGGTGGGTGCTCTGAGCTGTGGAGGGAAAGGAGAAGGGAAGGCAGGTGATTAAGAATAACTGAGGGGCTTGGGAGGAGGGAGGGAAGAGAAGAGCCTCTCCATTGCAGGCTTAGCCTGCAAGAGAGATGCAGTTACGTATGTTGCCTATGTGCAGTGAACGCTGACGACAGATGCAATTTTCGCACAGAAGTGATAGTATGTAGCCCATTTCTGGGCTGCCTAAGTCATGTGTGCTGGGGATGCAAAATATCTCTGGATGTGCAGTGTTTCAAACAGAAACACTGCATATCGATACTCCTACCACCTTGACCTCTTCAAAAAGCAAAAGTGGTTGGAGTAACTCTTTAAAAACCGGTTTGCCTTCATTGTATGTGGTTGTGATGGGCATCCATGCGTCAATGGCACTATGCAGGTTCCTGTGAGGGAATAGACAATCCCTGTCGCCCATTGCATATACAGATTGGTATACCACTTTTTTTTTTCTTCTTTTTCATTGCAGGACTTGGTGGTCTGTTCAGCCAGCCTGTTCAGAACAATGCTCAATCCAACCATCTGATAAACACTGCAAGTGCACTTTCTGCACCTACCTTACTTGGAGATGAGAGAGATGCCATTTTAGCAAAATGGAATCAGCTTCAAGCTTTTTGGGGAACAGGCAAAGGATATTTCCACAACAACATACCTCCTGTAGAGTTCACACAAGAAAATCCATTTTGTAGATTTAAGGTAATTGAGCACTTATGTAAATTAAGATTTGTGTTAGACACTTGCCAATACTTTTAGACTTTGTATTCCAAACAATGTGTCTGTTTGCACATTTAACCTCAGTACGGCAATTGAACAGGTTCTTTATGGTAATATACAGTTTGTTTTTTTTCAGATCATTGCATTTAATGCTACCTACATTTTCTATTCTATTAATTACATCAATTACTATGCTTTATTATACAAACCATGTATTATTTTGTTTCCATTTACTTACTGATACCTTGTAATGGAATATATTAAGATCCTTTTAATCTATTTTTTCTGTGCAGGCTGTTGGTTTTAGTTGCATACCTAATAACAAAGATGAAGATGGGTTGGTGGCCTTTGTGTTTAACAAAAAGGAGTCAGATCTAAGAGCTCAGCAGCAGCAGTTGGTTGAAAGTCTTCATAAAGTCCTCGGAGGCAACCAAACACTCACTGTAAATGTAGAAGGTGTTAAAACGATGCCTGATGACCAGTAAGTAGTACAATCAGTTTGTTACTTCATATAAACTAGTTACTGTGTTGGAAAAAAGGACTTGTATTTTCATAATGCTGCTCTTGATTGGATGTATATCTGGCATTCAGATAAAGGTCTACATCAGGGGTAGGCAACCTTCGGCACTCCTGGACTACATACCCCAAAATGCTCTTACACCCATAATGCTGGCAAAGCATCATGGGAGGTGTAGTCCAAAACAGAGTGCCGAAGGTTGCCTATGCCTGGTCTTTATAGTACTGATGCTATTGTTTAATTTCATTTTGCATTGAAATGCTCTCAGGATTTCAAAGTAAACGCGCAGGTCTTGGTAAATGGGCTGGGTTCCAGCCCTGCCAAATGGTGTTCTTGCTACTCACAACTAGACTTTCTGAGGCCCAGGCTCTGTTTGGAGGCCTCAGCTCGCTTTTCTTACATGACTCTCAACTCGCCTAATCATGTACATTTCACTTAATTCATTTTTAAATATTGTTGAAATAAGATTTGTGAGTTAACATATTCTATTCGCTCACGCAACAATTAGAATGAATGTCTTTCTTTGCAATGTCTTTTTGATTTCTTAATTGGTTCTTAGTCTATGTACAAACTCTGGACTGTATATAAACATGATTCCTTTGTGAAAGGAATGTGATTTATTGTCTTTTTTCCCCTTAGAACGGAAGTTGTAATCTATGTTGTCGAAAGATCTCCAAATGGCACGTCTAGGAGAGTACCAGCCACTACATTGCACAATTATTTTGAACAAGCAAATGTTAAAGCTAACCTGCAACAGCTGGGAGTAACGCTTATCATGGCCCGAACTGAGCTTTCACCAGCACAGATAAAGCAACTTTTACAGAACCCACCTGCAGGTCAGTATTGTCAGTAGTGACCTTGCTTTTAGTAATAATGTGAGCTTTTCAACAAAATGGTAAGACCTGTGTTTTCTGAACTGTGCAATGCTTTTTCTTTCTTTTTTTTAGTTTTTTTTTTTATACCCCAGTTGGATGGCAATTGTAATCCAAGCTAAAATGTATCATCCAGATCTGACAGTATTGATATTGGCAATGCATTGTACATCCTGCATTATTATTACAAGGGCAAGTCTTTGGATGCTGGGGGCAACCCTGTTTTTTGGGACAATCTAATTTGTGCTTAGATTGTGCCTTTAATTTCATTTGCATTTTACCCAGGGATATATAGGGGTGTTATGCCCACCATATGCAGGTTTTTCTAGGCACACCATTTCATCATGTTGACTGGCAACACATAATGTTGCCCTGTAGTGTAGAATGTTTGTCTCAGGATTCCGGATTGATTTATGTTCTCACTTATTATCTGCAGCATATTCTACATACTAACTGGCAGCACTTTCCATATGCTACTAAGTTTGTACAGGGTTGGCCAAAATATAGAGTAGGATTTCACAGCTAAATATCTTATTTATTCATTTTTTTGTTTTTGCAGGTATATATTATAACTGAGTCTTGGGTAATTTCACAAAAGAACAATTAGCCAGAGAGAAAAATGTATGCATTATCTCATCATGTCTAATGAAGTTCCTTTTCATTTAAATAGCTTCGTCAATAAACAAAAACTGTTGTTGGGGTACAGAAAATCCACATATAATTAATCTGTGCCAATTGCATCCTACCCGTCTGGTGCAGGGTGAAAATGTAGGAAGTTGTCGGGCAGAAATTCAAGCACTGGAGCATCAAACATCCCTCAGGGTCCCCCTCCCGTCCGGCTCTGGAAGGGGGAAAGGGGTAAAAACTTACCTTTTTCCAGCGCTGGGCGGGGAGCTCTCCTCCTTCTCTCCTCCTCCGTTCCTTCTCCTGGGCTGAATGCGCACGCGCGGCAAGAGCTGCGCGCGCATTCAGCCCGTCGCATAGTAAAGCATTTACAATGCTTTCCTATGGACGCTTGCGTGCTCTCACTGTGAAAATCACAGTGAGAAGCACGCAAGCGCCTCTAGTGGCTGTCAATGAGACGGCCACTAGAGGATTAGGGGGAAGGCTTAACCCATTCATAAACATAGCAGTTTCTCTGAAACTGCTATGTTTATAAAAAAATGGGTTAACCCTAGAAGGACCTGGCACCCAGACCACTTCATTAAGCTGAAGTGGTCTGGGTGCCTAGAGTGGTCCTTTAACTAATGCTAAGAACCAATGCAAACAAGAGCCATACTTTGCGAGGTGGCAAATGGAGCTCATTTGAACAAACACATCTCCATACATTAAGCATTCATTATATATAATATCATTGAAATTGGTTCATTAATAAAAAATAAAAAATAAAGTTGACTCCTCAAACCCTACCCCGAATTTTGGCACACCGTGTATAAGCAATCTGCATCATGGACAGTAGGGTGGATATGTCAGTATGAATCTGGAAAAACTGTTTTGATTTACTTTATTTATATTTTAGGTGTTGATCCAATTATTTGGGAACAAGCCAAGGTTGATAATCCAGATCCAGAGAAGTAAGTACATATTGGTTTTATAGTATTTCGTTCTAATATCTTATCACCAAGTCGCACAGTGCTTAGGGGTTACAGGTAGCATACAAGTTAGGCAGCCAACTGCTTGTAAATATTGTGGTATGTGCTTTACTTTAACACAGATTGATTCCTGTCCCAATGGTGGGCTTCAAGGAGCTTCTGCGCAGACTTAAGGTTCAAGATCAGATGACAAAGCAACACCAGTCCAGATTAGATGTAAGATTTGAATTTAGTTGTGTTCCATTCATCTCTCCTGAAAAGGTAGTAAAAGCATTGTAGTTTTTGCTTCTGTTAACACTATTCTTCTCAATGTAGATAATATCTGAAGACATTAGTGAACTGCAGAAAAATCAAGCAACAACAATGGCCAAAATTGCACAGTATAAAAGAAAATTAATGGAGCTTTCACATAGAGTTCTCCAGGTAAATCTTCTTCTATAATTTTATATTGTTGATCCAAAATGTATTCAGTTCTATAATCATGCTTAAACATAAGAAAATGGACTAAATGTTTGTGTGCACAGATTACCATGTGGTTAGGCATAAATGTGGGCAGATTTTGTCGATTTGTAGATTCCAGCTCCCAACTTCTTTCTGTTTTTAGTTGTTTCTTTTCTCTACATAACCAGTGTGGGATGTTCTTGAAGATGCACTTAGATGTTTTGTTACCTTCTTTATATAAAACCTGTTTAGATGTTTGACATAAAAATCACATTAATGTTGAGTTAAATGATTGATGACATTTTTATATCGTAGGTTCTAATTAAGCAAGAGATTCAAAGAAAGAGCGGCTTTGCTATACAGGCTGAAGAGGAACAGCTCCGTGTGCAGTTGGATACAATCCAAAGTGAACTTAATGCTCCGACACAGTTCAAGGTATGGTCGCAACATGTTCCAGTTTATACTGAAAGCAAATGGTCTTTGTTTGCTTGCTGTTTGTTTTTATTTCTATGGTAAACCACATAGAGGCATGTCAGAAATTAGTTTTGCCTCTTGTGGTACTAAATTTAAGGGTGTAACCTTGCTTTGTATGCATGATAAGTACTCTATTATTGTCAATTGCTCAGCAGTTTGTCATTATTTATCAACTTGGTTTCATCAAAGCAAGTGAGACATACAGGAACAGTAGCTGTTGAGGGTCTACATACTAAGTAAAGTAGGGTAACATGTGCTTTTGTCTGTTTTCCAGTAGGATTTTATGCAACTTAATGATATAATTATTACCCTGGGCAGTGATGTGAAAGGTTACCATTGTCAATTTTGCCCCTGCAATCTCGCTTCTCACGTCTATTCCATTTAGGGGTTCAATCATTGTTTATGCACCCCTAACTAAACTTTCCATGGCTGTGACTTTCACAGCCTTCCTACACACTACCTGATTTTTGTAAAACATTTTTTTAAAGATTCTTTTATTGCACGCCGCGTTTATTTAAACTTTTGTACCTCCTTCTCCAATAGCCTATTAGAGCCCACAGCACCTTCCTGTCTGTGATTAAAATCGATTCATACACCAGGCAATAAGAACTTCTAAAGTAAACACTGTGCTTTAAGATCTGATGGTCAATGAAACTGTTTCTTTCATGTTGGCCCTGTAAGCCACAGCCAAGAAAGTTATGGCACGGACTGCATAAACAGAAACAAAGGTGATTGGACTGCTAAATGGCAGAAAAATAGACAATGAGACTGTAGTGGCATAGTCTATAAACCAAAACTGCTTCATTAAGCTAAATGCCAAAGAATACTTTTATGCGTTACCTGTCTATCTCAAGTTGACTTTTGGGTGTTCCTTTTTGGATTAGAAGCTCAGTCATGTTTAAACATGACCTTGTCTATCTAAAACCACTCCTATCTTCTTTGTAATAATTGTTTTCCATTTTTTTTATACATCCTTTTTTTTCATCATTATTATATTGTTCTATTATTCTCATTTTTATTTATTTTTCATTATAGTGATTTTTAAATTTTATTGCGATATTTATTTAAATTTCTTTTTATTCGTTTTTTATATTTGTATTTTTCTCTATTTTAAGTATTACTTTGATTTTTATTTTTTTGTAAACACTATGGATTTACTAATTTTCATTTCTCATATTTTTTATATTTTTTTTAGAGGAAGATATACTACTGTCTACAGATAAGATTATCTTACACTTGTTTTTGCCCCCTTTTTTCACGAGCTGAACTCAAAGATCTAAGACTTTTTCTATGTACACAAAAGGCCTATTTCTCTCAAATATTGTTAACAAATCTTAGTGAGCACTTCTCCTTTGCGAGATAATCCATCCATCTCACAGGTGTGGCATATCAGGATGCTAATTAGACAGCATGATTATTGAAAAGGTGTGCCTTAGACTGGCCACAAAAAAAGGCCACTCTAAAAAAAAAAAAAAAAAAAAAGTTTTACTGTATTGGGGAGGTCTGGGATGTGTCTGAAAACCAGTCAGTATCTGGTGTGATGTTCAGCTGTATCCCATTTTGCTATACTTTCTATGTTTACACAACTATCCCAAATTTCCAAGCTTGACGTGAAAATGAACACAGATGGGCTATATTGGTGCTTAGAGAATCCATTTAAGTCTTCAAGGACCCATGTTAGGCGATGCCTTATTATCATGACAGTACTGACATTCATATCAGTCCTGAAGGAATTCGTGTAAGGCATTCAGTGGATATGCTACATTAACATGGTAGCTGGAATAGTTTTCTTAAATTCAGTTATATTAAAGGACCACCATAGGCTTAATGAAGTGGTCTGGGTGTCAGGCCCAGCTAGGATTAACCCTTTTTTCTATAAACATAGCAGTTTCAGAGAAACTACTATATTTACCTATGGGTTAATCCAGCCTCTAGTGGCTGTCTCATTGACAGCCGCTAGAGGGCTTCCGCGCTTCTCACTGTGATTTTCAGTGAGAAGACGCCAGCGTCCATAGGAAAGCATCGATAATGCTTTCTTATGGACTGGCTGAATGCACGTGCGGCTCTTGCCGCGCATTCAGCCAGTGACGGAAGAAGAGGGAGGAGAGCTCCCCGCCCGGTGCTGGAGAAAGAGGTAAGTTTAACCTCTTCCTCCCCCTAGAGCCCAGCGGGAGTGGGACCCTGAGGGTGGGGGCACCCTCAGGGCACTATAGTGGTCCTTTAAGCTCTTCATCCTTTCTTTTTCTCATCATCCAGAAACAGTCAGTATATGTCCCATTATTCTCTGCTTCTCATATGCTTTAGTTGCCTATTCTTTAAAGGTAGGTAGTATTACATAACTTTTAATTATAATTCCTCAGTATAGACTGCAGTATATTTTGTACAGTGACTCCTTCAATGCTTTATATCAGGGGGAGAGTTTTATAGGAAAAAAGGAATATATTTAGTGTATTTGGATTACAGTTACAACTGCAATAGCAGTAATGAGTGCGTTATTAATTTAAAAGTCGATTAGCAGTATACATTTGGAAAAAGTTAAATGATGTCTCCATCCACATAAACGGTTGTCATGGTAGGGAAATGCAGCCATATTGTTTCTTTTTAGGTCCATTGATTGTTATGCATGGTTGTGTAATGTCCATCGTACTGGACTAGGTGCAACTATAGTACACTTTGTTTCCTCATGATGTTATACCCCACAAAGCAATGCAAACTAAACCTTGACATTTTAGAAGATCTGGAGTGCAGAGTCCCAAGTAAAGTTTCTATAAGCTTTTTTCCATTCTCAGAGTTCTCATATTCTTAATTTTTGTTGCAATGCATTAGCTTATATAAAAGGGTGATTCAGACGTGGACCATGTGCTCACTGTGCCCAGAGGGGTATGAGCTACACATTACTGACGAGGGCTTAAGAAGGCTGAAACGATCATCTGGGGTTACTGTATCTCTTGTGAAGAGATAATTTACCGGCATTTTGGTTTTGGGCTGCCCTCATGGGTGAGATCAGTCTGATGTGCTTTGGAATATGTTCTCTCTGTAATGGCACAAGTGAGCGAAAACTATTTTGATACCTGAGCGTGGATTTACCGAAGGGCAAGTTAATGAGTTTCTGTAAGCTTTTGTCCATTCTCAGAGTTCACATTGTTTACCTTTCTTAAATAATTACATTTTATAATGGTAAATGGTGCAATATACTACTACACAGTTCAGTATTAATTTTACATTTTATGGATTAATAAAGCTGTTCTCAAAGAATAGATTGCCTGCTTTATTGGCGCCATGTGTTGTGCGTTTCATATGTTTCCTATAGTTTGTGCGTGTTGTAACACAAAGTGTGGAAATTTTTATTTTATGTGCGTTTAGTACAAAATGGAGTGCCGTTTTAAGAATTGCTTTTTTTATTTTCAGGGGAGACTAAATGAACTTATGTCTCAAATCAGAATGCAAAATCACTTTGGAGCAGTAAGATCCGAAGAAAAATATTATGTAGATGGAGATCTCTTGAGAGAAATCAAACAAGTGAGTCATTACTTAGAGCTTTGCAATTGTTCAAATTGTGTTTCTGTACTAATGAATTCTGTTGGGTTCTAAATTCATGAATATATGACATGTTTAGCAGTATTCAGGACCATAATAATGTGTACCTCGCAGCCTTCTAGAATAAAAACACCCATGAGTTTAAAAAAACCCACTTTTCTGGGTAATGTTTTTGCTGTGGTAGGGGATTGGGTTATATTCTTCTATCTGTTCTTTTTACCACAAGATTCTTATTGTTCCCTCTCAAACTAAAATTGAAAACCTGTAAAGTACCATACATTCCTATAAATGTGTATTATAGAATATTTTATTTATTTTTATATATATATATATATATATATATATATATATATATATATATATATATATATATATATGACTATAAAGTTACATTTGAAAACTCATTGTTACAGTATATTATCATAAATTACATAATCCATACAACACAATAACAGGTTAGGTTGCTAAAGTGAGACCTGCCAAAAATAGGAGTACATTGGCTTTTACAATGTATGATCATATACTAGAACTAAACCCCTATTGTTTTTGCCTGTTAGGGTTTTTTTTGGGAAACAACTTTCAGTGTGTAAGCTGGATCCCAGCAGTGTGTGTTCCATTTAAATTTTGGTACTGTATATGAATATAAAAAGCCCTGATTTCATACACTGAACATTTTTTTTTTTTCCTTTTAATTTCTAGCACTTAAAACAACAGCAAGAAGGATTAAGTCACTTAATTGGCATTATCAAAGATGACCTGGAAGATATAAAGCTCATTGAACATGGACTGAATGACAATATTCATATTCGAGGAGGAATGTTCAGTTGACCAGGCAACACTAATTGCTTTTAGCTCAGTATCTGAAACATACATATTGTCGTTCAAGCTTTAAGAAGAACTCTCTACAATAGACTGATTGGATTACTGTAGTCTTCTTGCAATGCCATGATGCAAATAAAACCGCACTTATTTGCAATTTAACTAGATTTTGAGTAGTGTTTGAAAACGCGTCAGATATTCTGACAGTGTGGAAACAATTTATGCTCTCAGTGTGTTCTATCTGGTTTCTAAATCTATTATCTTTGTGGACTTGAGTTGTGGCTTTTGAAAGAACACTTTTGTAAAGCAGCCTATGGTATAGAGGGTGGATGCAAGATAAATCTCCAGCTGTGATTAAAGAATTTCCTATTCAGGGACTGGTAAACTTATAAAAGAAATATGACTTTTCAAAGTTTAGTTATTAATATTTTGCAAGAATATCTGTAATATTGATGACTGCATAACTTTTTAATATTAAAATCTGTGATATATGTGCTATAGTAGTTTTCTGACTAATAGTTCCTATAAATAAATATTTTTCTTAATATGTGTGTTGAGCATTTAATATAAAATACTTTATTACTTTTATTATTTTCTTTATCAAGTTCAATACACAATTAGTACATTTGAATTCCTTTTGTGTTGGCTTTTACATATTATTACATACAAAGATTATAATACATTCAATACTTGATGTTTTATAAAGAGAAAAAAATAGAAACCCTCCAACTAACCCCCATCCCTCTGCTGTTGACCAGAGAGTACCACTCAATTTTTTTTAAATTAAAACAATCTTTAAGTAATTTGTCATAATCTGCTGATGCCTGATTTATCCAAGAATCATCCCAATCATATAGAATTATTTTTTTTAATTCATAACCCTCTCTACATCTTTAATTGGTGTACCAATTGACTCTACTTCTTGCCAAAGTGGAGTGTCCGTTGTCTTCCATATAACACTTTAAAAAAAAAAAAAAAGTTATAATATGAAAACAAATCTTAATGTAAATATTTTTTCCTAGTATTATTGGCATTTTAGCCAGGTATAGAAACATGGAATATGATGGCAGATAAGAACCATTCAGCCCATCTAGTCTCCCCAATTTTCTAAATACTTTTTTTATTAGTCTCTGACCTTATCTTATAGTTAGGATAGCCTTATGCATGTCCTACGCATGCTTAAACTCCTTTACTGTGTTAACCTCTACCACTTCAGCTGGAAGGCTATTCCATGCATCCACTACCCTCTCAGTAAAGTAATACTTCCTGATAACATTTTTAAACCTTTGCCCCTCTAATTTAGGACTATGTCCTCTTGTGGTTTTCTTCTTTTAAATATAGTCCCCTGCTTTAATGTGTTGATTCCCTTTATGTATTAATGTTTCTATCATATCCCCCCTGTCTCATCTTTCCTGCAAGATAGACATGTTAGGATTTTTTAACCTTTCCTTTTAAGTGTTACCTAGTAATCCATTAACCAGTTTAGTAGCCCTTCTCTGAACTCTCTCTAAAGCAAGCATGTCAAACTCGCGGGCCGCATGCGGCCCACAATTTAATATTTTTGTGGCCCGGCAAACCGTAAGTTTGCCATGCTCACTAAAGCGGAGTAGGCACCTGCTTTCCCCACATTGCAGGTGCCTCCTGTGCCAAAATGACCCGGCCGGGAGGAGAGGTCACTGACGGCAGCGAGGGAGCAATGTCTTCCTGCTCCCTCACGCAAATATGACTATATTCCGGCACCCTGAATTGCTAAACTGCTTGCGTGAGTGAACAGGAAGACTGAGCTCTCGAGAAAAGATCAGGGAGAGGCACCAAACCAGCTCCCAGAGGTCGGGAGCAATACGTGTGTGTGTGTGCGCGTGCGTGCAAGTGTGTGTGTGTGTGTGTTGGTCAGTGTTGCAATGGCTGCGGCTGGGCAGTGGAGGACCTGGAGGTGCACGGAGGCACGCAACGCCATGTCACATTCTGACGTGATGTCAACATGCTCCACCTTCACAGGTTTTCAAGGAGTAGCAGGAGGATCAGTTTGGCACAGGATGCAGACTGTGCCATTTGGGGTATACCGGAGGCTGGACTCCAGAGTTGCATACTGGCAGCGGCAATGTAAGTGAAGAGTGCTTGTTGCCTAATATTTTTTTTTTTTTTTTTTTCTAAAAACAAGGGCTGGGGTTTAGTATAGGGGAGGGGGTGGGGGCCTGGAATTTAATATAGTGTGGGGGACTGTGATTTAGTATAGAGGGTGGGTCTGGGGTTTAGTAGAAGGGGATGCTGTGGTTTTTTTGGGGGGGGGAAGAAGGGGGGGGTGGTTTGTGGCCCGTGCTAACCTTTCAGTTTGACATGCTTGCTCTAAAGTATCAATATCCTACTGGAGATGTGGTCTCCAGTACTGCGTACAATAATCCAAGTAAGGTCTCACCAGTGTTCTGTATAATGGCATGAGCATGTCCCTCTTTCTACTGATAATACCTCCCTATAAAACTAAGCATTATGCTAGCATTTCCTGCTGCTCTATTACGTTGTCTGCCTACCTTTTAAGTCATCTGAAATAATTACCCCTAAATCCCTTTCCTCAGATGTTGAGATTAGGATCAAATATTCTATACTCTGTCCTTGGGTTTTTATGTCTAAGATGCATTATCTTGCACTTAACCACATTAAATGTCAGCTGCCACAGCTCTGACCATTTTTCTAGTTTACGTAAATCACTTGGCTTATCCCTCCTGGAACATTAACCCTGTTGCATATCTTAGTATCAAAAATACATACCTTACCATCAAAACCTTTTGTAATATTACTAATAAAAATAAAGAGAATGGGTCCAAGTACAGATCCCTGAGGTACCCCACTGATAACTAGACCTTGCTTCGAATATACTAGACTGATTACAACCCTCTGTTGCCTGTCACCCAGCCACCGATTTACCCATCGAACAATATTGGAATCCAAACTTAAAAATTGCAGTTTGTTAATAAGCCTTCTATGTGCAACCGTGTCAAAAACCTTAAAGGACCACTATAGTGCCAGGAAAACACTCGTTTTCCTGGCACTATAGTGCCCTGAGGGTGCCCCCACCCTCAGGGTCCCCCTCCCGCCCGGCTCTGGAAAGGGGAAAAGGGGTAAAACTTACCTTTTTCCAGCGCTGGGCGGGGAGCTCTCTTCCTCCGCTCCTCCGCGACGTCTGAATGCCCACGCGCGGCAAGAGCTGCGCGCGCATTCAGCCGGTCGCATAGGAAAGCATTATGTTTTCCTATGGACGCTTGCGTGCTCTCACTGTGATTTTCACAGTGAGAATCACGCAAGCGCCTCTAGCGGCTGTCAATGAGACAGCCACTAGAGGCTTTGGGGGAAGGATTAACCCATTTATAAACATAGCAGTTTCTCTAAAAAAAAAAAAAAAAAAAAATGGGTTAACCCTAGCTGGACCAGGCACCCAGACCACTTCATTAAGCTGAAGTGGTCTGGGTTCCTAGAGTGGTCCTTTAATGAAATCTATGTAAGCAATGTCTACTCCACCAGCCTGATCTATTATTTTTGGTTACCCAATCAAAAAAATCAATAAGATTTCTTTGGCATGATCTCCTGAAGTAAAGCCATGTTCAACAATCCTATCCTTTAACATGGTTTCCATTACTTTCCCCACTACTGAAGTAAAGCTTACTGGCCTATAGTTGGCCAACTCCTCCCTACTACCTTTCTTGTGAATGGGCACAACATTCGCTAACTTCAAATCTTCTGGAACTACCCTTGTTAATAAATGGTAAAATAAATCCGGTAATGATTTTGCTAGTACACCACTAAGCTCTTTTTTTTTTTCTTTTTAAAAAAAAAAAAAAAAAATTAATATTTTGGTTGTGCATGGGTTAACAATCACATCTGCACAGCTACAACAACTGGCGCAGTCTGAGCAAAGGTACATCAATTAACATAGATGTGGCTTCAAATACTGGCACTTTTTTTTAAATTTATTATAAGAAAGGTATAAGCAGTTAGTTATTAAGATCTACACATGTCATATCATACAGTCTAGCTTAAGATAAACTAGCTAGGTTGGTATGCGTTAAAATTGTGAGATGCTATGTGGCCGGCTGTACGCTATGCTATAGAGAAGTGTATCTAGTACACAGTCGATCCACTTCCACAGATTATGAAAATAAAAAGAAAACAAACAGAAAGAACAAAAGGAGAACGATTTTAGATGTTGAGTGATACCTCTGGATCAAACTGCCGCCTTGGAGAATACTGCGGGTCAGATATGTACGGGTGGGGTGTAACTAGGCTACTGTGCATGGAAGGAGATAAACACATTGCGGGGAGTTTTTACGCCTGACTGTGGCAATATTGTATGTGGGTGTCGATTTAGGTAAGATTCAGAAGGGGTGGGGAGGAAACTACGGTCGGTAGACCACTTGTTTAGGGGTGTGTAGTATATACACCTGCATTTTGTGGTAATACTACTATTTAAAACTGTAGAACCATTTAAGCAACTGGGTTAACCAGGTGCATTGCGGCATATTGGTTGGCATGCCTCAGGTAGTCCCTGCAACATAACGATCGCCCTTGGGTACGCGTGGGATGAAGGGGGTTCCCCCTTCTTGGGTTCCATCGATCATTAAACATGATTTGGGCAGAAAGGCAGTTGAATATTATATACGAGGGAATCAAAATATCTCTGAGGAACTAGGCAACTTTATTCTCACTTCTATCACTTTCATACTGGAGCACAATTATTTTGTTTGACAAAAAGTTTTATTTACAGATCACAGGCACTGCCATGGGGACCAGGTTCGCTCTCAGCTATGCCAACATCTACATGAGAAGATGGGAAGAACTTATGGTGTGGGCTTGGCATGGCTGGGGTTGAGACCTAGTCCTGTGGTGGAGATATATAGACGATGTTCTTTTTATTTGGCGAGTATCAAAACACTTGTTTTCTAATTTTGCTGTGTTTTTGAATACCAACACATATAATTTAAAATTCACCTCCAAATGCCATTGTAGTGAAACAAAAACATGGACATAGTTTCCAAATGTTATTTTAAAAAAAAAAACAGATGGGAATAGCTATGTTCACAGGCAAAGTTGCCACCATGAGCCTTGGCTCTAAAGGCATCGCTAAAAGCCAACTAAAAGCCAACTTACAAGGGTCAAACGTAATTGTACCATTGTAATTGTTGACGATTATCAACAAGCTGCCATTATAAAACATAAATAAACAAAGAAAGGTTATAAAAAACACCATATTGAAAAAGAGATCAAAAGGATTGCAGAAATAGATAGAAACGAATTAATGATGGACAGACCAAGACACCTTAACAATAAAAAAGAGAAAAAAATTTGAACATACGTTCACTACTAGATATAACACTGATCATTTTAAAATTAAACAAGCAATATCAAAATATTGGCCTATCCTCCAAGAGGTAAATATAGACCACCCAGGTGCAATAAATGTATAATACAAAAAGATAATTACTCTTAGGTTAGGTATGTCAAAGGATTCCTCTCAAGCCTCAATATAAGCGAAAAAACAAGAAATACCTAAACA